TTTTTTCTCTGTTTGGCTGCTGACGGGCTCAATTAAAGGGTCATTCATGATGTCAGTGGGGGGCTCCATTAAAACATCAGTGGGCTGGCTGGTGGTTGGCAGTGTGGGGTCCATTTCGATTAGTGGAGGGTTGCTCTGTAGATGAGACAAAAAGGGGGAAAAATAATTTGCTAAGTATTTGACAAGGGCTGCAAAATCTGTCAATTCCATTGGATAAACGATAAGACAGTAAAATGTCAGGAAACGGGAAAAAGAAGCCTTTCATTTTTTCCATGGTGATGTCCCCCTCGCAATATAATACATTTTCTGCGTGAATATCATCAATATAGTCTGTTAGTGATACTTCAATCAATTGTCCACAATCTATTGTCAAAAAATTAAATTGTTCCTGTAGTTTCTTTCAGCTTTCAATTATAAGGTCGCTACATATGAAAGAGATGCGTTTTAACCATCTTTTCCAATGGATTTTATGTGGTGTTTGAGAGGTTGTATGCTTAAATTGATAGTATTAGATGAGTGTGGCTTTGTATTGATGAGTAAGCACTAAGCAGTCTGGTGTGTACTATTGGACTAGTTGCATAATATTGTGCCACTCGATTCTAAGCCGAGCAAGAATCACAAGAACTTTTTTGGAAGTCCTACTTTTTGAGGAGACTACAAGAACACAAGTATTGTTTGACCTAATACACTACAGGGTGTGTAATTAAAAACACAAGATTAATGTAAGAGTCTTATCGACTTACCTTTGTTACTTAAAAAAAAGCAATGTCTTACTGAAACATTCAGACTATTGCTCCAAAAGTAAGCAATGAATGGTTACTGGGTTATCAGGTACACCCAAACAAAACTTAAATCTTTTGGAGAAAAGAGTCCTGAAATAAGATCTTACGTTTTTGAAGGTAGTTACATTTCGTTTAATTAGAAATAATTTAGAGTGGTGTTAGAGGGGATTTGATTCAACATTGTAAACTGCCATCATACTTATATAATCGTCTGACTATTACCTCCGTCACTATTTAGCAACGTTACAACAGGTTACAAGGGTTTGCACTGAGCAAGGAAATAACCCCTTTTCCTACTTTGCGGAATCGCTGGTGCAGGATTTTTTTTTACATTTTCCTTGTGGGCTTGATGTCTTTGTTTTTCTGTCCTGTGTGTTTTATTTTCAACTTTACATTTTTGAACAAACACTGGTGTGCTGCCTTGGCCAGGAAAATAGATCTCAATTTCAAGGGACTTCCTTGATAAATTAAGTTTAAAAGAATCATAGTGTTGACTTTATGGTGGAATTTCACTTTCATTATACAAAATCAGAACAAAATACACTGCCTGGCCAAAACAAAAGTCACCACCTGGATTTAACTAAGCAAATAAGTAAAAGCCTCCCATTGGATAATTACTGCATGGGCGATTATCTTTTTATGTGGCAACAAGTTATTTAACCCCAACTGATGCAATGAGTAGCTTCTCATTTCTTAAACAACCATGTTGAAAGACCCATCCTGTGGTCATGGGAAAGATGTTAAGTCTGTTTGAGAAGGGGCAAATCACTGGCTTGCATCAAGCAAAGAGGAGGATTGCAGAAACTACTAAAACTGGGTTAAGAACTGTCCAACGCATTATTAAAAACTGGAAGGAAGATTTACCCTGTTCCAGAGTGATGGGCGCTTTAGGGTAAGAAGAGAGGCAGATGAAGTGATGCACCCATCATGCATAGAGCCTATTGTACAAGCCTGTGGGGGCAGTGCTATGATCTGGGGTTGCTGCAGTTGGTCAGGTCTAGGTTCAGCAACAATATGTGCCCAAAGAATGAGGTCGCTGACTACCTGGAAATAATGAATGACCAGGTTATTCCATCAATGGATTTTTTTCTTCCCTGATGGCACGGGCATATTCCAAGATGATAATGCCAGGATTCATCGGGCTCAAATTGTGAAAGAGTGGTTCAGGGAGCATGAGACATCATTTTCACACATGGATTGGCCACCACAGAGTCCAGACCTTAACCCCATTGAGAATATTTGGGATGTGCTGGAGAAGACTTTGCGCATTGGTCCGACTCTACCATAATCAGTACAAGATCTTGGTGAAAAATGAATGCAACACTGGACGGAAATAAATCTTGTGAGATTGCAGAAGCTTATCGAAACAATGCCACAGCGAATGCGTGCCGTAATCAAAGCTAAAGGTGGTCCAACGAAATATAAGAGTGTGTGACCTCACTTTTTGGTGAGGCAGTGTATAATGAGTGCTTTGACGACACCACTCAGTTACAAGTTTATTGCATCCAACAAACATGCAACTGGTTGTAATATCAGTAAGTCATCGGGGTGTAACAGTATGGCTAGTCGCCTTCGCCTTAACAAAGAAGTAGACACAACCTAGAGCTAGAAGACCCGTCTGCTTTAAATCAGTTGTGTTTGGAAACTCCTGATTCAGAGTGCTGTATATGTAATTGGAAAGACGTGATGAACTTGCTGATGGATAAGAGACCGTATCACCCAGAGGTGCAAATATCAGCAGCTAGGCAACAGAATACAGGGGTCAAACAACCCATCTCTGCTGTTTTAAAAAGAGTCTCGGTTTGAAAGCAGAAAGGCCTAGGATATAACCAAAGCTAATACATTAAAAGGCTTTGCCTCCATATGCAGCAGGAGAGGTCACCGGCTTCAAGCATTTACTGGTGTTCAGCAGATTGAGCACAAGTTGTCCGCTGCAACCGGTGTTGCACTGACAACCAATCGACATCTAACAGTCACCGCACAATTCATTAACTAGAATGATCAGTATTCCCCTTTTAGAGATGCAAAAAATATATTAATCATAAATACGATACATTGCAATTGGCACATAAAGGCATGTATTTTCTCTTTCTTTTATATTTACATTGTATTTTATTTTCAAATCAAGCGATATCAAGCATTTCTGAGTTTCTTTTTATATTTTGCATTCTTTTTCCTCTCATTTTTGTTTCATAATGTTGAATACACTACAGACTGAAACACTTATCCCAGGTAGCTCTAAACAACGATATATGAAAAAAAAAAAGGAACCTGTACTAAGGTTCAAAATACAATCGAAAAACCACAAAACCACGGTATGACCTGAATTGTGACCGAATTGTGACGTCTGTGTACTATTGCAGCTCTAGTTGATCTTGGGAGTTGAATGCTAAAAAACCCTTTGGAGTCATACCATGTAAATAGTATCCATTCAGTGATTTGAAAACAAAGGTAAGTAGCCCGGGGGTACTTAGACCGTTGCAATGGGGAATGCTTACATACAGATTGTGGATTTGCTCAAATAATTTTAAAACGACAAATTAGGGTTAGGGTTGATTAGTTTATATAAGCTAGAAGTTATTGTTAAGTTTCACATTACCAAAAAGTTATGGATAAAAGGTTCGAAAGTTCAGCTTCACTGCAAGGGGCTGCGGTTGTATTGCTGAATAAGCCACCCTAAAAAAAATAATGAAATTTCATTTGTTTGAAAAAATGCTGCAAAAATATCTGCCTTATTTTACTTTTATTGCATCAGGGCGACACTTAACCATCAAATAACCACTCCCTGCTCAATCCCCCAAAACATGCCCTTAGCTTCAGGCTCTGGTAAGTGTAACATCCATAACTGCTGAGTAATGGGGTTTTTTTTTTTGGTTTTTTTTCCTGCAGCAGTTCACTCCAGCCCCTAAAAAAAAAAAAAAATCCAAAGACAGCACATTTCCAATCTCTCCTCTGAACTTTGACTGTAGGAAAACATCCGGGTTCTGACCATGTGACCACAGCTCGCTCACATGACAGCAGCCTGCTCGGGCCAGCTTTTCTTTTTTACGACTCATTCAAATACAAGAATTTTTAAACCACTCATTTCACTAATAGCTTTGGATAATGTGATCCATCACACTGAAACCCACATCAACATTATTCCATGCATTAAGTTAAGACGATTGCGTTGTTTTCTTTAACCTAAAAGGGTGGCCTTAGAAAAAAAAGCCTGTAGAGGAAGACACCTTCACGTTTTTAGTGGCAAGTAAAAAAAAAAACCTGGACGAGATGACACACATTACTCTCCACATTGCACTGATCACACAGGGAACCCACACTGCATGCATTTGCTGTCATTGCGTTTTCCAAAATCGACCTGGTTAAAATCACAGCGACACATTGCAACTTTTTTTTTTTTTTTCCGAGAAGAAATCAATACCTGCATGAGATGAGTGTTTGCAGCAGAGAGTCGAGTATCACCACAAAGCCAGAAACTGCAGGTAGACAGTTTTGAATTACGTGATTCAAGTCACGGTATTAAAGAGTAGTAAAAGTATAATAGCATGGGGCAGCTCCTTGAGTAGACATTGTTACTTCTACGTCAAACACAGCTACATGTTACCTTGCCAAACTTTTTTTTCTTTTCTTTTTTTGTTGCTAAAAAAAAAAAAAAAAACGCCTCATTAGCTGACGTTAGCTTAAGCTTTCCTGCCTCCACTTCGCCTAATCAGAGAAATAAAAACCCTCCTCGGACACGTACCGTGCTCATAAAGAGGTCCTCCCCGTCGTCCTCATCACTGTCTCGGCCTCCGACCTCCTCGGAGTCCAGCACATCTTGGTCCTCGGAGTCCGGGAACGGAGGAGGACTGCGCTCCGAGCTGGTCGCCATCTTCAAATCTTTTAGGGAAACGCAAACGTCAACAGCGCACACTCAAACACACACACACACACACACACACACACACACACACACACGCGGATAGATACTTTTAGCCAGCTAGCTTGAGCAGCACACTTGAGGTGGTGGTGGTAGTAGTAGTAGTAGTAGTTGAGCTCGGTACAAACACACCGACAGACCCGACCCGACTGACCGGAGGAGACGCTAGAGTCTGTAAAACAAACCCCACACTCTGTCTCTTCACTTCCTGGTCCTCCTTCTTTTCAGGTTCGCTTCAACCGGTAGTTAGCTCGGCAGTCATGACACGGATCCAGCAGCGAAGACAGTGACCCAGGGTGGGTTGGGGGGGGTGTGTGCAGTCAGATCATCTATGCCAGGTAGGTCCAGTCTCCAGTCTCCGGTCAGTCATTATTATTAGAATCGTCCGGGGATGTCTCGTCACGTGCAAACCGGAGACGCTGAAGCGCGAGAGCCTCTTCTTAGCCTTCGCTACGAGGACCTGAAGGAGGACTCTGATGAAGGTACAACCTCACTCACTACGCTGTTGTCAAGTGATATACTGGATGTTTGCGTTGCTTAACTTCACAGCAAGAAGCACAGAAACGTCAAGTACCTTCAAGAGACAGTCACTTGTATTCTGTCTGATATGCAGCTACTGTAGGCTGCAGCCTGTCTTTGTTTACTGTATTTGATCATGCATGAATACATTCTCAAATAGTTTTGTACTGAAAATAAATTTGACGAACTTGTCCTATAAAAGTTGTATTAAGTCACGGCTGAAGGACAAACAGAGTTGCCCCCCAGTAAATCAAACGTAAATAAATGGCTTAAGTGTTTTTTTTACTGCCCTTCTTTTGTAGGCTAATTTTATTTTAAGATACAAATATTTCAATTCATGCACCCCTAACCTTCAAGCTTCAAGGGATGTCTGATATGCAACACATTCCATCCCAGCCTGTCTTTGTTTACTGTATTTGATCATGCATGAATACATTCTCAAATAGTTTTGTACTGAAGAACAATTTGACGAACTTGTCCTATAAGTATTTTTTTTTTACTGCCTTCCTTTTGTAATTGTATTATAAAATACAAATATTTCAATTCATGCAACAGTTATGTTTTGCAGACAATAGTCTTAACTCTAACTTAAGTACGTTTTTTGATGCGTGCCGTTACATTTTGTTGCAGTATATGCTGTTGTAATTCTGCTCTTACTCAAGAATACTTCTTGCCCAAATCCTTTTGTTGACTCATGGTTTGAGTAACTTGTTTTTTCTAGTGTGTTGATGTGCTCTAAATGCCTAACATTTACATTAAGTATAGTGCACACTGCTGCAATTATCAACTACTTTGGCTCCCTGCCTTAAGGTCATTTATTGATCGACAGGGCCTCTGAAAATGTCACACGATTACATAACTATATGACCCACTTTGTATTGTTTTGATGCAAATTCCTACGAAATGAGCTCATGAACTAAGACTCAGTAAGTCTGTGATACTAAAGAACTTAGTTTATTAGCTTGACATGTGTAATTGAGAAAAACGGCCTGTATCAGGAACCTCTAAGTGACTTCAACTGTTTTGTGTGTTTTTGATCCTGTTTTTCAGGTGTTATCATTTTCGAAAGGAGCACATCAAGCTTCAAAAGTGATTCTGTTGGGGGTTCACAGAAGAGACTCAAATATGAAGAAGCAGTAGACGCAGCAGGTAGTGTGCAGTTGTTGGTGTTAAAAGTTGGTTTGGATCTTATTTCTGTGCTACTCTCTATTGTCATCATGTACAATAAAACACGAGATATAAGAAAGCATTTAATTCATTTGGTGGGGAAAATAATCAAATGCTTTATTTAGGGTATAAATGTATCACTTTGAACAGAAGCATTAAATGCTTCTAAATGTATAGATGAAAAACTCAATGCACACAAGCTACAAACAGGTTATTTAAAGTCTGTAAGAGGTAAACTGAAAGTAAAAGTTTTATTAAAGCACACATATAGCACAGAAAATAGCTACAGGGATCACAAAAACATATATAACCTCGAGCTTTGTTTGTGATAAAGTAGAATAATACCGCTCAGTTTCTGCTTCATTGTATTTATCTTCATCATTAATCATTGAAAATTAAACCAGTGTATATTAAACTGTTGATTATGTCCCAAACAGGCCTACAGAGATGTTAGTTTGTTCTTCAGCAGTGTACTTCAGTCTTTGTTCTGTGGTCGCTCTTAGGTTTCGGTGTGTTTCACTATGCACTGCTGGTGGTGTGTGGATGGGCCAATGCCAGTGACGCCGTGGAGATTCTCTGTGTGTCTTTTCTGCTGCCAACAGCACGTTGTGATCTGCATCTGGACTCTTCAGACATGGGCCTGCTGACTTCCAGCATTTTTCTTGGTAAATCACAATTATTTAATCAGTCCTACAGCGCAAGTACTCCTTATCTGTGAATACATTGACACAGGACTGTTGAACACCCTGAACAAGGTATTGTGCTATGTTTTTCCTCAAACCTCTGCTCATACAGAGTTTTTAAAACAATTTGTTCTGACTTTATCTCAGATTAGTGAAGCTGGGATGGTTACTCACAGGGATTTCTTGGACTTGCCCCTCAAAGACTTCAGACTTGAATCAGATTTGAGTTGTGCATATTGTGCCCAATTGTTATTATTATTTTTTTGTTCATTTGTGTCTCTTATTGGATTGCTGTTTTGAATTAAGTAACAAATAGAAAAAAGGTAACCACTAAACAGAAAACAATGTTGCAGTGTATATAGTGCTAAAGCTGGATTTGAGTAATGTTGAATAAAATCCTAAATAAGATCATATTTTTGACTTCCTATTTACTAGGAATGATGTTTGGCGGCTACATGTGGGGATACTTAGCTGACCAGAGGGGGCGCCGCAAGGTTTTGGTTCTGTCCCTGACAGTCAACGGGATATTTGGAGGTTTGTCCAGCATGGCTCCATGGTTCTCAGTCTTCCTAGTGCTGCGGTTCATCAGCGGCATCGGGTGAGCATATTCATTTTTCATATTTTGTTATTGTTTGTTTACGTTTGGCAACCGACCGAACACAAGATTTTATTTATTTATTCCATTTAGAGTAAATGCTTGGAGTGATCATAACAGTTTCACCCCTTCAATGTCTACATGACTCTTAGTGCCCAAATCAAACCAAAAGGCCAGAAGTGCATTTTTGTGACAGATTTGATTCGACTTTTCCTTTGAAGTCAAGTATAGGGTACAGCTCAAGTGTTTTCTTGCTCCTGCAGGGTTGGAGGTTCGATCCCTGTTATCTTCTCCTACTTCTCAGAGTTTATGCCCAGACTGAAGAGAGGCACAATGATCAGCGCTCTAGCTACCTTCTGGATGGCAGGAAACATATTGGCTGCAGGTGGGAACAAACATGACTCACATTAATAAGTCCATGTCAGGATTGCATTAACAGCAACTATAAAATAAGAATACACTGCAGAATTGTGGTTAAAAAACAACTAAAGATCCATGTGTTTAAGAATCTGTGTTTGATCTGCAGGTCTGGCTTGGGCGGTAATCCCAACAAACTGGACGGACTTTTTGGGATTCATGGACTTTCAGGGCTGGAGATTGTTTGTGATGCTCTGCTCCGTTCCAAGCCTCACCTCGGCCCTCTTCTTCCTGCTGCTTCTGCCCGAGAGCCCCAAGTTCCTCATGGAGGTATTCAAAAGCCTGGCTGGTGCTTTGTGTGTTTTGCAGGTCCCTTTTTAATTCTCAGCTGACACAGAGATTTGCACCTTTTCTCTGCCAGGCTGGTCGGGAGAAAGAGGCGCTCCGAGTCTTCAAACAGATGTTTAAGCTGAACATGCGCGGGAAAGAAAAGGATTTTACGGTACAAGCTTAATTAAGGGCATTACGATTAATCATTCATTACTGTACATATTTAAATATGAGCTTTAGCTTTATAAGCCAACCAGGAAAAATAGTATGTTGTCCTGAGATGATCACAGATTTAACATACAATTGAGATGACAAATATTAAGATAACAAAAAAGAATAATAATATGAAGTAGTACAGATTATTCGTATTTGGTTTATTAAAGTCCTCTCAACATTTTTTAACTTTTTAGTATAATCCTGTTCTTTAATCAGAAAGAGTCTCACTGTGAACTCTTTTGAAGGTCCTTGGTTTGTGCATCAACCCCAGGAGAGATCCAGACGAGACAAGAACGCTGGGTAAAGGAAGACTGACCTGGGCAATAAAAAAGGTAAATCTCTCATTCACAGAAAACAGACTCAGAGAACAGTTGCAGAAGTGTGTGATTGCACATTTTTGTAAATTCAGCAGCATATTCTGAGGTTAGATGCTTGTTTCTCTATTTGCATAGACTCAAGCCGTCTATCATTGTTCAATACTTGTGTCTGTTGTACCCCTATTCTTAAGGTTGGATTAAACTGTTATGGAGCCAAATAGCAAACCTTTGCTGCTAAGCTCCTCATACTGTAAGCCCCTGTTACTACCGCACGCTATCAACCGGTTTTTCAATGCTGTAATATAACCGTGACTCAGGCTTTCAACTAAGAACATTATTTTCGGTTATCAATAAACATGGAACAAAAATTAAAATAAAATGTGCCCATTGTAACTTAAAATCCAAGTATTAAGACCTGCTGTTCTGGACTTATGGTGGTCTGAAGAACAAAAGGAACATTACAAAAAAACTAAACAAAAAAACTCCCATTTGAGAAGCAGGAGTTTTAAAGTTTTTGTTGAAAAATGACAAGAAGGATTGATAGAAAGTCAAACAGTCTGCTGTGATTGTATTGCCAATTAAAGTTATTTTCTAACTATTTCTGCATTTCATGAGGTTACCTGTGTATTTTAATGGGCTATTAACTTTATTAGACCTCTCTGTCTTATACAGTTAATAAATGTAATCTTCATGATACAAGTGCTGCTTGAGCCTTTTGTCCTTTTCAAACCTTTCACACTCCATGCACCTTGGTAGTCGGTGAAGATGTGCCAGAAAAACCCTACTCTGCTTCCACATTAGCGAGTTAATAAGTTGATTAAGATGTTTTGAAATGTGCGAACTAAAGGGAAATAATAAATCTCACTTTTATACTCCTTTTCAATAAGTTTAAATAAGTCTCAGAGGTCCCCAAAACATGTCTATGAAGTTTCTTATTCTAAATCCACTCTGGTCCTGTAATTGATCATGCATATAAACCCCTCTATTTCAGCCCTGCTCAGAACAGGCTGTTTCTGGGTCTGTAGCTTTAAATGAAGATGAGCTGTGTTCGACCACGCCCCTCTCTGGAAGGGGATGTGGCTCGGGCTCTCTTGTTCCATGTTCTATTTTTTAATGCAAGAATGCAGACTCAGAGGGCAAAGAACAAACACCTAGCTGTGGGAGTGTCACCCACCTTGGGGAGGGGTTACTGCCCTTTGTGATGTCACAAAGGGGAAATCTCCAAACAGCCTGTTTGAGCACACATTTACTGAAAAGTGGAGCAGGCAAAAGACGGAGAGGATGGACTTATCTCATAACTGGGGAGTTTGTAGACAGACTAGGGACACATGTAAGTGTTCGAAAAACATGTTTATTTTATTTATATGTGACCTTTAAGAAATGAAGCAGAACCCACTGAGGGGCATATACAGTCAGGTATTGTGGTTTTGATGTATAATGGTAAAACCAGTTATATCATTAACATTTCTGCTATTAACACCTTTTTTTGGTTTCCTGCTGATTTAAAGATTGACAGGAAGTTCCTTTGACTTTTAAGACAGTACATAAATCTTCAGGTTTTGGTCTGTCGGTTGAACATAACAAGTCCTACAACCTTGTCCTTTATTTGGACTGATGGTCTTATCAGGCCTACTTTTCATTCTTCCTAATAGTCTCACAGACTACAACATGTTACCTCTTAAATGTTAATAAATGTTTTATCACTTCATTATCTTGAGATGTAATAAGTACTAACATCCTTGGTTTGCTTTGCAGGCCTTGCTGCCCATTAAACAGATGTTTCAGGGTTCACTCAAAGTCAGGAGCTTTGTTCTGCTCATCGTTTTCTTCTGCATCTCCTTCGGGTGAGAGATCCCATCTGCACCTTCTTCATACTGTCTTTGCTCTCCTGTTTTCTGGATTGTATTCAAGTCCAGGGCTTGTATTCTGATGTGTATTCCACATTGCTGATGTGACTAATCTAGAGCATTTCATTTTCAAACCTTTATTTATTCTCGAAAGGACACTGAGGTTTCCCTCATTTCCAATGGCGTCGAGATTACAAGCACAGTAAAACAAGTAAAAACACAACAAACACTCAGAATCAGTGACAAAAACCACTGAGATCAATTAAAACAGTTACAATTTGAAACAAAGTGGTTCGAAATCAAATTCCTAAACTCTGGAAGAGAGGGAAGAACCCTGATCCTTAGAGCAGGCTGCTCTGCAGCATTAAACAGTCGTGAGAGATAACAGTCGCAAATATTTCATCTTCAACAACCAGGAATCATGTTACAAAAATCACTGTTTCAAAAACCTGCTGAAAAAATGTTACATTTGTTTGGTGTGTGTGACTATTGTCATCAGTTTCCCCTTTAACTTTATCGATGCTTGTGTGTGTTTGTGTGTTTGTAGTTACTACGGGCTGTGGATGTGGTTCCCCGAGCTGTTTGCGAGACTTGAAAGCGGCGGCTCCCCCTGCAGGAACATGTCGCTTCCACGTCCAATGCAAAACCAAAGCTGTTATCCGGTAAAGACAGCAGGTCTGTATCTTCTTCTTTTAACTTCTTATCAACAAATAGAGAACTCATCTGAACAGCCAATTTAAAGCTCATAGAGAGAAGAAATGACGTACTTCAAGAATTAATAAATGACAGAGTAACAGGCAGCAAGTTTGAGGAGATATGATATATAGATAGTTCCAGAGGAGGAACAGAGGTTTCATAAAACAAAGGTTACACGAGACCTGACAAATGCAACATGATGACTTCAGTGTTTCCCACACGTAGACGATAGCTGGGCGGGCTGCCCAAGTATATTTCTGACCTGTTTTTATTACATTTTTAATGTATTCATAAAATTGCTGCATGCATGAGAGAGAGGCCACGGCTCCTTGTAACATAATAAATCTCCCGTTTAAAAAAAACTTCCCTGTCGACTCCTGCGCAGAAAAACCAAGAGTGCAGAATCACATCAGCAGAGAGAGAGAGAGCGAGGGATAGATAAGGTCCACTGTCCGAACACTGCTGAACTCCTATAAATGACGGAATATCGAGTGGAAGTTTTTTGATATGAATACAAACCTAATATTAAAAAATAAATCAGATATAAAAAATAAAGTATGTTGATCCCTACCCTGATTTCCACCGCATCATTCTGTGGGAAACACTGGACTTAGAGACCACACACACACTGTCCTCAGGGTCTTGTTTAGACACATGGTCACTGTAGGTAATATGTAATAAAAGTTTTTCTTGTTAGGGACAAATGAGCTGAGTAAGAAACGCGATCCTGGATCAATTAGGTTTGAGTGTATTTTTGTTTGTTATTTCTGTGGCGACGGCATTTTTTATATCTTATTAAATATTACATCATACTCCAGAGACAGGCTTCTCAGGTGAATTAGAGCCTCTTTAGAAATAATTAGAATATTAGAGACTCCTGACAGAAAGCTTACTACTCAAGAACAGGAACATAACAGATTTCTCCAAACAAGATAAAGACCTAATTATTACCGTGAAATGATTATGTAACTTTAATTTGTACATTTTCAATTGAATACTTTATGAGCCCTTAAATGGATTATTGAAGAGATGCGGCACACAGTAGTTGTACAAAGACACTCAACTCAACTTTTATAGTCTGTGGTTTGTGTCCGTACTTTTCTTTGGTGGGAATTTTTTTTATGTTAGACAGAAACGGGGCGGTGGAATTGTCCATGGGGACAACAAAGTCTAAAGTTTTGATGGTTTTGTTTAAAGTATGTAACTGAAAGCCAAAAATGAGTAGGATGTTTGAAATCAGGATCTGTTTTATCAGCGCAAGGCACATATTATTTTGAAAAGGATTGCATTAGTCCAGTATCATCAGTGGAGTAGAAACTTAAACTGGCCTTTCCCTGTACAAAGTGTTTGGCCAATTATTTCAGAACTGACATTAATGCTCTCTCTTTGCTGTACTATATATTTCACTTATTCCAATGAAAAGGTCAGAATATATAAAATATATAGTATGCAATAATAAATGAACAAAAAACACATTTATTTGTGTATAGATTGTAGCTAAGTATACTTTGTTCTGGGCAGCAGTAGCTCAGTCAGTAGGGACTTGGGGTAGCAGACCAAGTCTGGAAACTGGTCTGGTAGCTGGAGAGGTGCCAGTTCACCTCCTGAGCACTGCCAAGGTGCCCTTAAGTGAGGCAACGAACAGTTTAAAAAAAAAAAAAAAAAAAAAAAAAGCATCCTGTTTGTGCATGAGTATGTATTTCAGCCTCTGTGTGTGTAGCATGTTCAACAACAGAGTGTCAAACTGAATTTCCCTTGCAGGATTAATAAAGTATATCTTCTTCTTTTATCTTCTTTCATGTTCTTTCCAGGAGTATAATGCTTTAAACTCGGACTACTGCAATGCATGCTGGGATATGTTGAATACTCTCTGCGAACCAGAGAAAATCCGCCTGTATATAAAATGTATGAATGTTTTTTTTTTCTTGTTCCTGATTGAACATAACCTCACTGTGTCTGTGTCCTTACAGTGTACATGGAGGGCTTCATCATCGCTGCGTCAAACTTACCAGGAAACCTCTTCACCATTCTGATGATGGAGAGCACAGGAGGAAAGGTTCTGCTCTGTGAGTCTGATGTCTGGATTATTATATTGATACAGATAAGGTTTAGGGTTTGGTGAGACTTAAAATATGAGTGTGCTATCACTTCTTTAATGTCAGTCCCTAAATAAGAGAGAAGTACAGACATGGAGGAACCAAGTGAAGATTTTGTGGTTGAAAGTAAATTGTTTCAAAGCAAGTTGAGCGGACAAGAACAAAACTGGGAACATTTTTAAAAGACAAATGAACTACCCAAATAGTGCCCTGAAATTGAAGGAGGACATGTTTCCTTAATGTCTGATGATGTAGTAAGGTAATTAAATGATTTAATTCAGTAGATATCTTGCATATTGGACCTTTAAATTAATTTTACTTTAAAGATGTCAGTGCTTTGTGAGAAATTATCAGTCTCACTTTCTCTACAGAAAAAAACATGCATTGTGTTATTAGTAACTATACAAACTCAAAATTAGATATAACTTATCTGGGAAAAAAGGATCTTTTGTATATTAATTGTCAGAAAATGTAAATATAAGAGTCACATGTATTTACAAATTTAGAAAAACATAAAAAATGTTGATAAGTTCGTATCAAGAACCCAGTGATGTGATTTGTATCCTATCAGATGTTGAGTTTATCATTGCATCACTAGTTTTAAGTTTCCTCATCAATATAAACTATAAACTTCCTTTGATTTCAAAATTTGTAAAAATATCTTCTTTTTTTGCATTTCCAAAATGAGCTCTACAACTTATCAGTTATAGCCACTAATACTTAGTTTCAAAAACTTTTAAATGTTTTTATTGTTTTTGAAGGCTTTTATTCTCTGGTACCAGCTTGTTTTTAAAGTTCATACCTAGTTTATCCTCCTCGATGCTTTTTCTGGCATCACTGACGTGTTAGTCTCAGAACTTTCAGGATAGAAGTCTGTTAAAAAAACCTACACGTCTCTTTTCCTTACATGTTTGTCCATGTGAACGGCCGTTTCAGACTTACACTGATGAATCATGTGTGACCGTCCTGAACCTCTTCTCCCCTTTGTTGCGTCTCCAGCCTGCAGCTTGCTGGTTTCCAGTCTGAGCGTCTTCCTCATCTATGTGGTCCAGACCAAGTACCAGAGTCTGATCCTGTCCTGTGTCTTCAGTGGCGTGTCAGTGGTGGCCTGGAACGCTCTGGACGTGGTGGGAACAGAGCTCTACCCCACACATCTACGGTAACCTTTTCCTGTTTACAACACCACAGTCCTTAAAAGTGACTTAAACATGGAGGTTAGGATTTCTGTCTGTTTGGACTTTGAGCTACTTTTATTTTATTCATCTTTTTAATTACTCAGATAGTTTCCAACATGAGAGTCACACAGCGAGCTCATCTGATCAGTCTGAGTGGACAGAATAGAAAATATGATATGTGTCATAAATCAAATTTAGCTTTTATCTCTGACTCACTCTTTCCTTATATTTTACATTCTGACTGTGAACAAATGCACTAACATGTTTTTATGTCTTTCTCCTAATTTGTTTTTGTCCTCTGACAAAATTAGCTATTCTCTTGCTAGAAGTGAAAAATGGGGTGCATTGATAACTCCTGTCCCGCCTAGAGGTCCCACGCCCCACTTTGGGAGTCACTGCATTAGACTATAAACTCTGCAGGATGATATTTCTCTTCAAATAAAACCAGTACGTGTGGACAGGTTCAGCTAAGAGATAGAGTCAGGTATGGCTGCATCCTGGCGCTCTCTCGTCTGTGTGCTCTCGTCTCATGTCTTCTGGCGCCCTGCTCCTCCAGAAATTCACAACGGCAAGTGCGCTGGGACAAGAAGCAGTTTACAAACTCGCGCATTAATTAATATTTACAGTCTATAATTAATTCAAACATTACCACTGCGCCAAAAGAAAACAACAGTGTAAAAGACGGCGAAGAAGATGGATTCACGCGCCCGAGGTTTACAAGAAGCCCAAATGAACGTATGAATGAAAAAACGTACAAATGAGTCACACAGAGGGGAGAGTTAGAGCACCGTGTTTTTTTTTTTCAACAGATGAACTGATGCTGCTGATTGAGCTGTGTGTTTATATATAACTAAAAAAGCACACACACATATAGAATGGCAAAATTGCTTATTTTTTATTTAGTCTTGAATGTGTAAGCACCTAGTATGTTTTTGTCATATATCACATGTACACTACAGATATTTTTATTTCCTGAGCTTTATGTTGAAAATTAGAAGCTCAGGGGGCTCGGCTTCAGGCATCCAGGCGAGAGCGCACAGAGGAGAGCAGTCAGGCTGCAGACATACAGTCTTGAAGAGAGAAGAAACATTGCTCTGTCCACAGGAGGGCACTAAAAGCTACACACAAAGCAAACGTTCCTCACATGCTTTAAGTTTTTAGGAATAAGAAAGGTTTGTGTGGTTTCGTTTTTTTAAAGCAGGTAAAGAAGTTTTCTTTCTTAAACTCAATAAGCATGATTCCTCACAGTTTGGGGGAAACTGTCAGGTTATGCTCTTGTTCAATTAGAGTCAGTAGATTGGTCCGCAGCTTTTCACATGTCCTTGTGTTTCTTCTTTATATCTTTAGGTCCTCTGCTCTTGGCTTCTTCACCGGAGTGGGCAGGGTGGCGGCAATCATGGGTAACATAGTCTTCGGAAAGCTGGTGGACACAAACTGTTCCGTGCCGATCCTGCTGGTGTCAGCGATGCTTCTGACCGGAGGGCTGGTGGCTCTGCTGCTCCCGAAAACCAAGCAGATGGATCTCACCTGATCGCTCTGACTCCGAATCAGAGCAAATGAGCTGGATAAATTATTAGGTCCTCTTCTAGTGTCCTCATGGAAGCAGACTGGAGGACTGCTGCCTTCACACGGCCTGTTTCTGCTCCAAGCTGTGCCTTCTGTCATCTCTCCGTACCTTTTTGACGGTGCCTTATTTAGAGTTGTCAAAAGGCAGCTGACTCTCTCTCCAGCTTCAATTTCTCACTCAGAAGCGTAACGAGAAAAGGAAATGCAGTCGTACTATCATTTTTTATATGTTGAGCATATGAGGATTGAAAACCTCGGCATAAGCAGCAAGTCGCAGCTTCACACATCACAGACATCTTTGTAAAGATCGTCAGCAAGTGCAATTATAATTCTTCTGTACTTCAAGTTAGTACAGTAAACGGTGTAGAGCTGGTAAACGGTGTAGAGCCGGTGTAGAGCCTTTATCATTCAACAACTCTCCTGTATCTTCTGTTTTTCTCTATTATTTAAACTCCAGCAGCAACTCAAGATTATTTTCATAATCAGTGTAGCTGCTGTTTCTTTTGGCAATAAATTGACTGTTTCATCTTTTACATTAAACTATTAAGAAAATCACAACTATGCAAAGCTTGAGGTAACTTCATTTTGTCCCATCATCATTTCATAACTCTCCATCGCAAATCATGAATGACTCTCTTCTTCAGATTTAGGAAGCTGGTACCAGCCATCTTTGAAATTTTGTGTTGAAAACTGAAGGAAATGATTACTCAAGAATCAAAATAACTTGTTATTAAATTTATTTAGATTTACTTCTTCACAAACATCACAGTTTAAACTTCCTGATCTGTGAGTTGCTGTAAAAGAAAAAAGCCTTTCTCGACAAATTAAAATATTTACTTTAATCCAAGTCTTAATCATGTGTACAGTTTTACGACACTGGATCATTTTACTGCAAGCTCTTCATTTTCCTCAACACACTGGTCCACATTGTTTGAGTTGCAACACGAGCAGTTGGAAACTTCTGTGAGAAGATTTGAAGAGGGTCTCGGCAGCTGAAAATGAGAGTGATGAGCGGAGGCGGGCGATGTTTTGAAGATTGAAAAAGAATGTAACCTTGGAGGGATGAATATTTGCACGAGTAACCCTCTTCCATGGCCTGTTGGTGCCATAACATTAACAGAATGAACAAATAAAGGTAGAAGCAAAACAACAAGGATATTCTTTAACCCCATCCTGAAGTTGGCAATGACCAACTTTACAACAGAAAAGGTTTGAAGCTTCTGTGAGAAGACTGCCACATGAGCAATACTTTTAGGATTGTTGGTATTAAAAGAAATTACAACTTTGACAATGAAACATAAAAAAGTAAAACATAAAAACAAGAATATCCTTTAACCCCATCCTGAAGTTGGCCTCAACCAACTTTACAACACGAGCGGTTGGAAACTTCTGTGAGAAGATTTGAAGAGGGTCTCGACAGCTGAAAACGAGAGTGATGAGCGGAGGCGGGCGATGTTTTGAAGATTGAAAAAGGCTGTTTTTTGGTGATGTGTTTGATGTGGTTGTCGAAGATGAAGGTGGGTCAAAGATGACACCAAGGTTACGGATGTGGGGGGAAGGGAGCACTGTGGCGAAATCGATGGCGACGGAGAAGTTGTTGGTGGATTTGATGATGGGTTTGGGGCCGATATGATGATGATGACTTCTGATTTGTTGCAGTTGAGTTTGAGAAAGTTGGTTTGGAGCCAGGATTTTATTTCTGTGATGCAGTCAGTGAGGATTGAGTGAGTGGCAGGGTTGATGGCTTTGGTGGCCATGTGGAGCTGGATGTCGTCGGCCTTTTCCAGGAATTGTTGGTGCCGTAAATTTTACATTGCAAACAAAAACTAAACAATGAAATTCAAAAAAATCGAAATGTTTGACTGAAACATCCTCAAATGGGAACAAAACAACTTCTCATCATTTTCACTAGCTGGAAAATTTTGAGGCTTTTGGATGAAGATTTGCACGAGGAACCCTCTTCCGTGGCCTGTTGGTGCCATAACATTAACAGTGTCCAGAATGAACAATTAAAGGTCAAAGCAAAACAACAAGAATATTCTTTAACCCCATCCTGAAGTTGACCTCAACCAACTTTACAACACAAATGGTTGGAAACTTCTGTGAGAAGATTTGAAGAGGGTCTCGACAGCTGAAAACGAGAGTGATGAGCGGACGATGTTTTGAAGATTGAAAAAGGCTGTTTTTTGGTGATGTGTTTGTCCAAGGAGAGCGTTGGGTCGAAGATGACATCAAGGTTACGGATGTGGGGGGAAGGGTAGCACTGTGGAGCCATCGATGGAGAGGGAGAAGTTGTTGGTGGATTTGATGATGGGTTTGGGGCCGATGATGATGATGACTTCTGATTTGTTGCAGTTGAGTTTGAGAAAGTTCGTTTGGAGCAAGGATTTTATTTCTGTGATGCAGTCAGTGAGGATTGAGTGAGTGGCAGGGTTGATGGCTTTGGTGGCCATGTGGAGCTGGATGTTGTCGGCCTTTTCCAGGAATTGTTGGTGCCGTAAGTTTTACATTGCAAACAAAAACTAAACAATGAAATTTAAAAAATCGAAATGTTTGACTGAAACATCCTCAAATGGGAACAAAACGACTTCTCAATATTTTCACTAGCTGGAAAAATTTGAGGCTGTTGGATGAAGATTTGCACGAGGAACCCTCTTCCATGGCCTGTTGGTGCCATAACATTACAGTGTCGAGAATGAACAAATAAAGGTAAAAGCAAAACAACAAGGATATTCTTTAACCCCATCCTGAAGTTGGCAATGACCAACTTTACAACAGGAAAGGTTTGAAGCTTCTGTGAGAAGACTGCCACATGAGCAATACTTTTAGGATTGTTGGTATTAAAAAAATTACAACTTTGACAATGAAAAATAAAAAAGTAAAACATAAAAACAAGAGTATTCTGCAACCCCATCCTGAAGTTGGCAATGACCAACTTTACAACAGGAAAGGTTGGAAGCTGTTTTGATAAGACTTTAACTGGAGGAAAACTTTCAAAGGCTTGTTGGTGTAAAAAAAATTACAACTTTGACGAGGAAAAAGTAAAAAATCAAAAACAAGAATATTCTGAAACCCTATCCTGAAGTTGGCCTCAACCAACTTTACAACACGAGCGGTTGGAAGCTTCTGTGAGAAGATTTGAAGAGGGTCTCGCGGCTGAAAATGAGAGTGATGAGCGGAGGCGGGCGATGTTTTGAAGATGGAAAAAGGCTGTTTTGGTGATGTGTTTGATGTGGTTGTCGAAGATGAAGGTGGGTCAAAGATGACACCAAGGTTACGGATGTGGGGGAAGGGAGCACTGTGGCGAAATCGATGGCGACGGAGAAGTTGTTGGTGGATTTGATGATGGGTTTGGGGCCGATATGATGATGATGACTTCTGATTTGTTGCAGTTGAGTTTGAGAAAGTTGGTTTGGAGCCAGGATTTTATTTCTGTGATGCAGTCAGTGAGGATTGAGTGAGTGGCAGGGTTGATGGCTTTGGTGGCCATGTGGAGCTGGATGTCGTCGGCCTTTTCCAGGAATTGTTGGTGCCGTAAATTTTACATTGCAAACAAAAACTAAACAATGAAATTCAAAAAATCGAAATGTTTGACTGAAACATCCTCAAATGGGAACAAAAAAACTTCTCAACATTTTCACGAGCTGGAAAAATTTGAGGCTTTTGGATGAAGATTTGCACGAGGAACCCTCTTCCGTGGCCTGTTGGTGCCATAACATTAACAGTGTCCAGAATGAACAATTAAAGGTCAAAGCAAAACAACAAGAATATTCTTTAACCCCATCCTGAAGTTGACCTCAACCAACTTTACAACACGAATGGTTGGAAACTTCTGTGAGAAGATTTGAAGAGGGTCTCGACAGCTGAAAACGAGAGTGATGAGCGGAGGCGGACGATGTTTTGAAGATTGAAAAAGGCTGTTTTTTGGTGATGTGTTTGATGTGTTTGTCCAAGGAGAGCGTTGGGTCGAAGATGACATCAAGGTTACGGATGTGGGGGAAGGGTAGCACTGTGGAGCCATCGATGGAGAGGGAGAAGTTGTTGGTGGATTTGATGATGGGTTTGGGGCCGATGATGATGATGACTTCTGATTTGTTGCAGTTGAGTTTGAGAAAGTTGGTTTGGAGCCAGGATTTTATTTCTGTGATGCAGTCAGTGAGGATTGAGTGAGTGGCAGGGTTGATGGCTTTGGTGGCCATGTGGAGCTGGATGTTGTCGGCCTTTTCCAGGAATTGTTGGTGCCGTAAATTTTACATTGCAAACAAAAACTAAACAATGAAATTCAAAAAATCGAAATGTTTGACTGAAACATCCTCAAATGGGAACAAAACGACTTCTCAACATTTTCACGAGCTGGAAAAATTTGAGGCTTTTGGATGAAGATTTGCACGAGGAACCCTCTTCCGTGGCCTGTTGGTGCCATAACATTAACAGTGTCCAGAATGAACAATTAAAGGTCAAAGCAAAACAACAAGAATATTCTTTAACCCCATCCTGAAGTTGACCTCAACCAACTTTACAACACGAATGGTTGGAAACTTCTGTGAGAAGATTTGAAGAGGGTCTCGACAGCTGAAAACGAGAGTGATGAGCGGAGGCGGACGATGTTTTGAAGATTGAAAAAGGCTGTTTTTTGGTGATGTGTTTGTCCAAGGAGAGCGTTGGGTCGAAATGACACCAAGGTTACGGATGTGGGGGGAAGGGTAGCACTGTGGAGCCATCGATGGAGAGGGAGAAGTTGTTGGTGGATTTGATGATGGGTTTGGGGCCGATGATGATGATGACTTCTGATTTGTTGCAGTTGAGTTTGAGAAAGTTGGTTTGGAGCCAGGATTTTATTTCTGTGATGCAGTCAGTGAGGATTGAGTGAGTGGCAGGGTTGATGGCTTTGGTGGCCATGTGGAGCTGGATGTTGTCGGCCTTTTCCAGGAATTGTTGGTGCCGTAAATTTTACATTGCAAACAAAAACTAAACAATGAAATTCAAAAAATCGAAATGTTTGACTGAAACATCCTCAAATGGGAACAAAACGACTTCTCAACATTTTCACGAGCTGGAAAAATTTGAGGCTTTTGGATGAAGATTTGCACGAGGAACCCTCTTCCGTGGCCTGTTGGTGCCATAACATTAACAGTGTCCAGAATGAACAATTTAAGGTCAAAGCAAAACAACAAGAATATTCTTTAACCCCATCCTGAAGTTGACCTCAACCAACTTTACAACACGAATGGTTGGAAACTTCTGTGAGAAGATTTGAAGAGGGTCTCGACAGCTGAAAACGAGAGTGATGAGCGGAGGCGGACGATGTTTTGAAGATTGAAAAAGGCTGTTTTTTGGTGATGTGTTTGTCCAAGGAGAGCGTTGGGTCGAAAATGACACCAAGGTTACGGATGTGGGGGGAAGGGTAGCACTGTGGAGCCATCGATGGAGAGGGAGAAGTTGTTGGTGGATTTGATGATGGGTTTGGGGCCGATGATGACTTCTGATTTGTTGCAGTTGAGTTTGAGAAAGTTGGTTTGGAGCCAGGATTTTATTTCTGTGATGCAGTCAGTGAGGATTGA